CCCCAAAACCCCAAAACCCCAAAACCCCAAAACCCCAAAAACCAAGATTCTTCTTGAAAAAATAATTTAAAAATTTAAATTAAGAAAATGAGTTTGTTCAGATGGATTGGAAAACTTTGCGGTAGTAGTCAAGCAAGGGCTCCAAGGTATGTTACTGATTAATCCTCATAATTTAGACGGCACAGGTCGGTCGAGAATAACCCAATGTCTCCATCAAGTTCGATGCCTCTTAGGAGGACTCTGCGAATGGAGAGATCTGATAAAATTGACCTTCGAAATGTGATAAAATCTTCTGTAAAGAAAGAAGATATTCTTGTCTGCGAATACACGCCAAAGAAGAACAGAGAAGAGACTCGGTTCAGATGTTCCATCTGCTATACCTTCTACAGTGACATCTTGGAATGCTCTGAATGCAGCAATTATGTGTGCATATTCGATGTGGAGAAGTTCATAATCTCAGTGAACCAGCCAACTTGTCCCTTCTGCTCTTCGTCACCAGTGGTGTTCCGAGACGTGACCAAGGACATCAATATGGTTAAACACTACTTTTCCAGCACTGAGAAGAGTGAAGAGAGCAAGAATGATGTCAGAGAGTATTGGAAGTCTCATGCGAGAGTCACAAATTCAATAAAGTTTGTTGCGATTAATGATACCAGGAATGTTAATGGTGGCATGGCCACTAATGAAAAACTCAAAATAATGGCACTAGATCATGAGAGACAGACTATTACTCCAATGTGAATGAAAGAAGTCAGCAATAATTTGAGGCAAGAGACTGAAGAAGATGATGTACGAAGGTATGAACAACATTTCTTAAGATATTTCTATGAGATTAACTACACCAAACATCTCATCATCATTTAATTTAGAGGCTTGTTTCAAACACCAATAAATAAAAAGAAGATCTCAAAAGATAAGATTAGAAAAAGATTGAGCAGAGGAGTTGGGCATCAAATGTAAGCTAATTTAATAAAAATAGAATCCCTTCACTCCATCTCAGTAGTAAAGAAGGAAGCAACTATTTTAAACCAGAAAATAATGATCACTTAAAGTTCATAAGCTCTGGAGAAGATCAAGAAACTTATAGCAAAGGATGATATCCAGCAGTATTAGAGTCTGCAACTAGTGAAGAAGTTAGTAATAAATTAGTATCTACTATCGTCAAAGACAAAGAAGAAATTGTGAGCCTTCATACTCATAATTCCTTATTAATGGGAAGTTCTATTAAATCTACACCTGATCACGATAATCTTATTAGAGAAGAAAGAAAATCAGAGATGTATAGTGATACAAATCCTCATCAAAACTATCCAAGAGTTCTTAGTTCAAAAGACTCCCATTATGAAGAAACTGAAAATAGTATTTTGTGTCTTATACTTTAGTTCAAGAATCAAGTAATTACTCAGGCAGCAGCCAGACTGAGTTCTTGGCTGATAATCCAAAAATTACAGCAATGATAGAGGTCATACCTAAGAGACAATCAAATGATCAGTCTTCTCGAAAGGATCATCCTGATTTGTATAAATACCAAAGCTATCGAGGAACAAAGGATGACCCCTACGATGTCCTTAACATGGATATTGGTGAAACTATTATATCTGGAAGTGGCCAAATTCCCTTCCAATCTCCTAAACCTAGAGCACTGAGTGAGGATTCAGTCAAAGGAGATCTCCCTAAAATAACTAATGTTAAGAACCAAGTTGAATTCCAAAAATCAGGAATTCAGTTAAATAAGAGAACGAAATGCAGTCTCTATAATAAATTAAGTAAAAGAGGGATCAACAAATTTGCAAGGTCGACCTCAAGAAAACTTGTTCCAAAGAAGAGATTTGCAAATAGTAGTTCTTCGAAGCGGTTGAATATGAAGAACACGAAACTGAGCTCTATCAGGAGAAGTACTCGCTCATTTAACCCTTTCAGGGAAAGAATGATGTTCAATTATAAGAATAAGAACAAACAATCCATCCAGAGAATCCCTCCTTCATCTGGTGAAGTACTAGTTCAGGATAATGTTGAGAATGAAGACCTAAATATCAGTGGAAGTGACTACAGTAAGAACCATGTGGTTTCAAAATACCTTAACTCCAGGACAAAGGTACTAACCTGAGTAACAATTTTAGGCCCATGGAGAACTAAATTATGACGAGAAGAGACCAATAATGACCGGGCACAGTTCTAGGCTAAGACAGTAAGCTTATATAGCTTAACCTTCTAGGCTAAACACTAATCCTGATTCTAAATAGAGATACAGGAGTGAACACAAGTTCTTTAAAGAAGAAAATTTTAATGGAGAGCCAAGGTGTTAATTTAAGATTGTGAGTCAAATTTAAGTAACCCAATAGAACCAATGCTAGAGAGACAGGAATGATCAATACTATTTCATCCAGTACAGCTGTGGTAAACAAGATTCCTCAGATGCAAATACAGGAGCATTACAAAGCTTCTCCAGTTCGTGGCTCAGAAAGCTCAAGCTGAAACTACAAATCTACTAGGAAAATAATAGGAGTGAGCCAGAAAAAGAACATGAAAGTTGGTAAGGTCAAGAGGAAGAATTTCAGGCAAGATGGTAGAGAATATCCTTCAAGAAGAAGACTGAGATAACTTTTAGTTCAATCTTCAATTTATGAATCATTCCTTGGGGTTTTGGGGTTTTGGGGTTTTGGGGTTTTGGGGTTTTGGGG